GATGGATGGATGGATGGATGGATGGATTGATGGATGGATGGATGCTCAGTTTGGGTCTCTGAATAAAATTGAGCTGTTTTATCCTCCATATTCTCACTATGTCAAGCTGTATGAGCCATAAAGCCTGATGGATCAAATATGAAGCTCAACAAAAACATATATGCAATCATATTTTTTTTTATATGTTGTCTAAAGTTTCAATAAAATGTTCCATTTCAACTAATTAGATCATTATTTCCTATTGCCGGCGTAATATGTGTGTTTCATGTGTATTTTTATATTTTCTAGAGCAGCAGTTTAGCAACAATCTAATCCCAAACTCTGCTGGAATCAATTTTGAATCAAATCTACTTTGTGTAGCGCTAATCATCGCCTGTGTAGTGTTCCAAATCAGTCACTTCTCTCGGTTAGTAGGTGTCTATGTAGTGAAGAAGCAGCCTGAGGTTTCTAAGGATTTTCAAACTGTGTACCAAAATGAAGCCGGCTTGAGGGCTGCAAAATGATGTGATTTGGTTTAAGCCTCTTGTTAGGGAGTAAATGAAGTCAGAATAATCAAATATCACGAACAGTCACAGATGAAAGGAGTTTTACAGATGAAACCTATTAGCAAGCAATGCAGCTAGAGCGGAAAGTCCTCCGCCTGACCTGAGGTTTGATGTCTTGTGCTCAGACAAGACCAATAACGCCGTTTATCAGGTAAAACATGAGCTGTGGCGTGTTTCTCCTGCTTTCATTTCATTAGGGAAAACAGCAGAGTCAGAGGAAATCCAGAGCAGTCAGCAGATCGTGTTATTATTTTAACATTCACAATTAAGGGAGCAGATGTGATGTTGATCATATGATCTCCATATGCGTTAATGTGCACCAAAGACTCCAGGAGCGCGTCGTGTTTCTGTTCTCCGATCAAACGCTCGCTGTGAGCAGACAGGGAGGAGGATTATTTATCCTCCAGCTCTCCAGATATTGCCCAGCTTTCTTTGTCTTCCTGTTTGAGAGTTTTTTTTTTTTTATTACTGCTGAAATATTGATACGGCAAAAAAGAGGATATTTCCAAGCGCATGTTTTATTCGACTGAGGCAGGATTTGAAATGAGGAAAGAGGGTGGGAAAAATAAAATGCAATCCTGTAGGCCGGCTTGCGTTATTCCCATGTTTTACGGCAAATACCTAATGAAAATCCCCACGGGGGTGATAGAAGCTGCTATTTAATTAAGAGTTTAAAAAATATTTAATACGTCGATGATGGAGAGGGTGATTTCGCTCTGTCCACTGCTGTTTAGAAGACTTTGCCAGGCACATTAAAATGTGAAACAGGCACAGACCGAAGCTAAAGAAACCCAAACTGATGCAGTCGATGGAGCATTACAACACTGCAGCGCTGCAGATACCTCTGCATTTCAATAGCTCACATCAGCCTTTCAGCATCAACATCTCCCTGCTGATAAAAAAAAGACCAGAATTAAAGACCGTTTTTTTGCTGGTTGGATTTGGATTTGCAGGGTTTATCTGCTGGAAAGTGCACAAAACCACTCTAAAACCATCTAGAAACCCCTTTAAAACCATCTAGATAGACCATCATAATTATATTGCATTGTATTATATGTTTCGGCATCAACGTCTCCCTGCATTTTTTAAAAATTTTCCATTTTTTGGCTGGTTGGATCTCTTAATGTAGAGGTGACTTCTTGAGATTTGTTTCTTTGTTTTGTGCCTTTCTGATCAGCATCTGCACCAAATTGCATTTTTTTTTTCTCGATTTTGGCCTCTGAATAAAATTGAGCTCCATATTGTCACTATTGAAACCAGAATTAAAGATGATTTTTGGCTGGTTGGATCTAGATTTTCAGGTTTTACCAGCTGGCAAGTGCCAGCAACAATTCTAAAACCATCTAGACAGACCATCTTGCTGGGTTAAAGCATCTCTAGGCTGAGGTTTAGCATGAAAGTCTATAGGGCCTTTCGCACCGCGGGAACCTTTTCATAGTACCCATTTCTTGAGATTTGTTTCTTTGTTTTGTTTGTTGGACCCCAGAATGGCTCCAAACTTCACTTCCAGGCTGGACTTTAGAAATACGTCTGCTTTTGTATATAACGAGCCTCTGGCAGGCCGTGTTTCCAGAGCACCAGGTCCCTGAAGCACCGAACTGACCGGCTTCATTACTGATCTATAGATAAATGGCAAGGATTGTGATAGTCACCCAGTAGCGATTGCTTGGGTGAAATACATTGAAACACTCTGAAACTCCAGACAAACTTTAGACCGTATCTGAACCACAGAATTAGCAGTTATCCAGACACCAGATGATTTGAAGGGGTGTTCACAACCCATTTAACTTCTGTAATGTGATGAGTTTCAGTGTGAAATAGGATGTTTAATGGGGAAAACAAATGCAGGACAGGACTTAAATTTATATAATATATATATATATATTAAAAAAAAATTCACAATATAAAATTGTATATTAATAATATTAAAATATTATTTAAAATTATTATATTTAAAATATTTAAAAACAGAAAATTATTAATATTAAAAATTCACATTATTTTTTTGAATATTCATTTGTCTGTCTGCATGGCCTATAATCCTTCAAACTTTAAAGGCTTTCTACACTTTTTTTTTTATTATTATTATATATTTTTTTTACATCAAATGAGTTAAAAGTTTGACAAACTTTTTTTCCAACGAGTTAAAAGTTTGCCTTAAACATTTGCTTTTTTAGTTATTATTTAAAATAAAAAAATACTAATTATTCATAATGAATATAAATTATATAAATTAATCTTAATATCATTATTTCAAAAGACTGTGACACAAAATATTTAACATTAATAATTAAGATAAATTGTATAAATGTATTAATTTGTATTAATATTCATAACTAAAATTAGATATTTATAATAATATTTGTTAGATTTAAATGAACATTTATTGCATTAAAATTTGAATTTCAATTCTCTATTCTGTTTGCTACCTCAATTTAAATTAAATTCTACTGCAGTCGTTTAATTAGAATTGAACGTCATTCTCAATTCAGTTCAATTACTGAATGAATCATTCACAATAAGAGCAGGAACGTGCATTAAGAAAGTAAATAAGGGTGTTTCTTTTTGACTTTTGAGACTGGCTGTCCGCAGATTGTTTTGTAGCGGATGAAATGCATTTGTTCAGGCCTTGTAGTCAATATCCGCTATGTGTACCGTACATCGGTTGCCATAGTAATGAGTCAAAGCGATGCCAAGAGGCTTGTGCAGAACCAGAGGAGCCGTCAGTTTGGAAAGAGAGGATGGAAAACTGGGAATTGTGCCTTTCATCATGGCAGCTCGCCATATTACTGAACTCATGAGGCAGATCAGAAGACATTAGCCATGGAGAAATGACTGTATTTTACACATGGATATGCTGTGTACCCAAACCATTCATTCATTCGCTTTGTAAATGCTTTTTTAATTGTAGGTCAAACTCGCAAACGTGTTTGTGTGAACATCAAGTATTATGTTGCTTTACTGTTAAGTCTCACAGTCGTTCAATTCACAATTCCCAAATTAGAATTAAATTTGATTTCACAAACAGTATGTGTAGTGTAGTTTTAATATTAGAAATGTGGGATATTTCTAGAAATATTATTTATTAATAAGGAATATTTTAACTGCTGCTATATATGCAATTTTGAATTTTTTTTTTTTTATAAAATATACAATATTTTTATAGAATGTATTTTTTATTACATTATTATTATTATTATTATTATTATTATTATTATTATTGGTTTTGTGGTGGAAGAACAATTTTTTCCTCAATGTTTTTATATATATCCTTTATTATACAATCATTAAAATATTATCATCATCATCATTGGTTTCATGGTGGAAAAGGACTTTCCTCAATGTTTTTTAATAAATAAATAATACATTTGATTTATTTATTTATTTATTTTAAAGTTACAAAGTTGTCTGAAAACAATGTGGTGTAATTGTTATGTTGCTATATGGTTTTGATAGCTCTAAATTACATAGGACGCATAATTAGTCAAAAATTATGTTGTTTTTTTTCATGTTTTGTAACTTGTTTTGGACTAATGAAATTCCTGAAGTTGTCTGGGCATTTAATTTCTATGCATTGTAATTGTTTTCTCATCATTCCAAATTAAATGTCAGTTCACCGTTTCAGTGTTTCAGATCCTATTCAGATATTTCAGTTTCCTTGAACATCACCACTTCACCCAGCACATCCAGACTGGATTAATGTCCTCTGACGCGGCTCTCTGCTTTAATCCACAGATCCATTCAGACTCTGATGAAGGCGACGGCTCTATAAAGTACACGATCTCTGGAGAGGGAGCAGGGACGGTCTTCATCATAGACGAGGTCACGGGCGACATCCACGCCACCGAGCGTCTGGACCGAGAGGAGAAGACCTTCTACACCTTACGAGCTCAGGCGCGAGACCGCCAGACCGACGCGCCGCTGGAACCCGAGTCTGAGTTCGTCATCAAAGTCCAGGACATCAACGACAGCGAGCCCAAGTTTCTAGAAGGTCCCTACATTGGGAGTGTGGCCGAGCTCTCTCCTATCGGTAAGAGTTACACTGATTATACAGTATTTATATGCTAACTGCAAATACTGGTTGTGTATATTTGTATACTGTGTGTTCAGATCAGCACTATTTTATTACCATTGATCAGGATAATTATAGTTAACTAAAACTAAAACCATAGAACAATTTTTGTTACTCAAAATAAAATAAGCTTTAATAAAAAAACATTTTTATTAAATAATTTTAATTTAAATAAATTAAATAACAATTTTTAATTTATTTAATTAAACTAAACTTTAATTAACTTAAATTAATTACACTTTAATTACTTTAATTTAATTGAAATAAAAATGTATTAAAACTATATTGACATGTTTAAAAATAAAAACAAAAATGATTAAAAATGACAAAAATACACAAAAGAATTACCAAAATTTTACCAAAATAAAAAAACCAGAAAATATAAAAAATAAATACAAATTGAAAATACTGATAGAAACAAACAACAATATTAATAAAATAATAACAGTATCTCAATGATACTAAAATGACCCTCTCATTGATATACTATTATAGTTTTTGTTAATATTTTGAATTCGTTTTTTAAATAGTTTCTTTTCTTTTCTTTTTTTTAATTTTAATTTTAGTTAAAGTTTTTAATAATTTAGTAATTTGTGTTTTTGGTTTGTTTTCATATTTGTTTGTTATGTCTGTGTAGTTTTTGTTATTACTATGTTTTAGTTTTTAGTTTGTTTATTTAGTTTTAGATATTTCAGTACTTTAGTAGTTATTTTAGTACTCAAACTAAACAAAAATGAGAAATGTTGCCTTTGCAATAGCTGAAATAAAATAAGTTATACGATTTAGATTTTTATATTTAATATAAGATTTATATTTTATTTTATAAATAAAATATTTTATTTCAGTTCATGTTTATTTTATTTCAGGTAATGCTTTTTATTTATTTATTTATTTTTTAATGGTTTTAGTTTTAGTTTCAGGTTACAATAATAACCCTGGTTCAGATCACAATTTAAAATACAAGTGTTGCATCTTCAGCATTGTTGCACAATGCCTAAAGGAGAGTCGTTTTTTACTGTCATGGCAAAACAACAATTTGAACGGATGCTTGCTGAGCAATGACATGGTGCATGTCCAAAAATGTCAATTTTTATTAATACTTTTTAATTATTCAAAAGGTCAATATAAATGCATACAATTGATGATTAGTCAATTCGTGCTTTTGCAATGTGGGTATTCTAGCTAAAAAAGTACCATGGAAGCACCATAGTATTTTTAGAAGTACCATATAAATGTCAAAGTACTGCATTATTGGCATCTGTACAACTGTACAATGATCCATCACAGTATTTTGTATTATTTCCAGTGTGTTTGTGTGTTTTGAATCAGGTGCGCCTCAGCCGAAGCTCTTATGTGCGTGTTTGCGGATATAAAAGATTTTTAAATGCAGGTTACAATAATGTAATCACTGCAGCGCTGCACGGCTGTGAACTTCCTGATTGAAATTAATTCCTGCTTCCTCAGCACATCAGCAGCAGCGACTCGCTGCTTATTGACACGCAGAAGAGAGAGAGAGAGAGAGAAATATGAGCGAGTCCTCCTCTCCCTGTAGGCTTCTCCACCTTTCAGTCAAATTATACATTAAAGAAGTGTGGACTTCATGTTTTATACATTGAACAGTGGCGGCTGTAATGAAATAACGGCTCTGCTTAGTCAAGCAGTTCCTCTTTGTTTTCTGCTTATGTTTGAGGTCCTGGACAGAACGAGCACTAATGGTCTTATTGTTAGAGTCTCGGGAAGAAGGTCAGTGTTACTCGGCCAAACAAACTCAACGGCACATTTTCATTTAGGTGCATAGAAAATGACTGCATAGTAAGTGAGTCTATATAGTATATAACACCTTACTGCAACGTCAAACAATAAAAAAAAATAGCTAAATACATAGTTATAGCAAAATAATGGTTAAAGTTAATATCAGATTGTTACATTGCTACATGGAATTCAATGTTTTGTGTTTGTTGGTTTGTTTGTTTTTTCAAAAAAATGTATTGAGCTCACCAAGCCTGCATTTATTTGATAAAAAATTCAGTAAAATCATTAATATTGTCAAATATTATTCCAATTTAAAATAACTCTTTTCTGTTTGGATATATTGTAAACTGTAATTTATTTCTGTGATCAAAGCTGAATTTTCAGCATCATTACTCCAGTCTTCAGTGTCACATGATCCTTCAGAAAATTAAGTATTCCCAACAATTTCCCCCATATATTACCATTTCTTTCTTTTTTATTATTATTATTATTTTTATAATCCTTCAGAAATTATCTAAATTATTTCAAACTTATAAAATAACCAATAAAAGTAACCAAAACACACAACAAAATTACAAAAAAGAACTAAAACTAAAAATATAAAACAGAATACACAGACACATATATTTATTTATTACCATTTTCCATTTTATTTATTCTTTATTATTTTTAATAATAATAATAACTCATCTGTATTATAAATAAATCATTTCATCCATGTGATAGCTAATTTCAAGCACTTTTCAAACTTTTAATTGGTCGCGTACATGTTTATTAACGGCTCAGAGATCTTAAGCCAGGCCTGCTCACGCTTCATATTAAACTCGACTAGTCCTCTTGATCTGACATAAAGAGCTGCAGTAATTTTCCAGCCACAGAGCTTTAAGTGACCGGCTAACAGGTGGGTGGTCGTACGTAACGGCGCTAATTGTCCCGCGGCAGACAGAGCTAATTTAACGACATGTTGCGCAGTCGCTTTCCAGCAAACTCGCCCCGTAGATGTGTGAACAACTGATCTAATAAGCTGCAGTGCATTCTTACCACTCCGCCAGAGAGAATTCAGCAATAATCATAAAAAAAGTAATCACGGACGAGCCCCGGGCATATTCATTTTCACTTACCGCCTTTGTCATTTTCTGCCTCTCTTTCTTTCCCTCTCTTTCTCTCTCCAGTGGCTTCGCTGATATTCATGGCCTTTAGTGTGCTGTTGAAGCCAAGTCACATTTGTTTGCATATTATTCACACACTATAGATGCTGGATGTTGGCTAGCCCAGCCATGAGCCGCATAGAGGCACAAAACACCACCTGCTAATCACAGTAGCCGCAAAATCACTAGAGCATGACTATCTTTTGTCTATTTTTGTTTGTTTTTCACAAAATCTGACATTGGTTTATGAAATGTGCATTCTGTGGCTGTATTTTCTGCATGAAAGGATCATATTGCCTATAAGACTCATTCATGATGTCCAATAAAGCTTCACTATTGATACTATTTTATCTAAGTGATATCTAGAGAACGGGGAAAAAAATATAATATTTATATATTATAAAAAAGTAATGTTTAATGTTATTTATGTATTTTTCTATTATTAATATTATTAATAATTAATTTTATTTAAAATACTAAGCCGCAAAAACTGTTTTCAACATTGATAATAAATAAGCATATTAGAATGATTTCTGAAGATCATGTGACACTGAAGACTGGAGTAATGATGCTGAAAATTCAGCTGCAGATCACAGGAATAAATTATATTTTAATATATTTTCACATAACAAAACAATTATTTTAAATTGTAATAATATTGTACAATTTTCCTGTTTTTACTGTATTTTTTATTTAATAAATGCAGCCCTGGTGAGCAGAAGAGGCTTTTTTTTTTCAAAAACAGTAAAAAAATCTTAATGATTCCATATGTGTATATAATCTTAAATGTCTTTTCAAATGCAATAACCAATAAACTAATGTCATATTTTAACAAATTATGGTGTTTTAGGTAAATGCTTGCCCTTAGCCTCTATAAATTATTAAAACATTTTAAATGGCAGGTTGAAAGACTTTGTAGCAGATACAACAATTGAAAAAAAAGTGGCATAAAACTAATGCATATATTTGCTATTTAATGCTATTTCATTTAATAATACATTGATTTATCTTCCCTGAATGCAGGACTAATTTTGTAATAAGTTGCTTTTTTATGTATAAAATACTGTCATCTGTGCAGTGTAGTAGACATTTTAAGAAGACAGATATTTTCCTCAATATTTAGTTTAGTTTATTTATTGTTTTTTTTTTCAAGTCTGACTCTTGTTTATTTGGAGTAAAGCTATCTGTGAATATTTAAACCAAATGCATCTCTTCCCTTCCTCGAGTTGAGAGACCCAAAGTAATGCTTTAAATATTTATGCTTCTGCAATGCTTTGCCCACACTTTCAGATCTCCTCGGATGCATGCAAAAATAATATGATGCTTGTACGTGTTGTGTTGTGCAACAGATGTCTTAGCATAGATTTAGAGGGAATGTTCAGAACCCCTTTGAATGATTCACCAATACGGTTTCTGCCAGTGTCAGATAATAGACACACAAAGCCGGCGGCACTATCGTATTCAAAAGAGATTTGCATTTCCAGAAGGAAATAACAGAGCATGCGGCAGAAGAACAATGTTGAAGTTTTGGGTTACTTCAGGTTCCAGGCTTTAGTTCTGCATCAGTGCTGCTTTGTAATTATCCTGAATGACATGAATATCCTGACGTCTGATTGAAGGGACATGTGTTTGTGACCTATAGTGTTCTTGTACCATGTGACAAAAGTGCTGCATGATGGATGGTTGTGATGGAGAGATTTGATTGATGGCCGATGGAAAGGTTATGTCACTGGGTCTGAACTCTGGCGTTCTGGCGTCTGACCTGATTTGATCTGTGTTGACTGACACGGCTCATCATGTCTAGAGGAGCTATCTAAATGCACTGGATATTCTAAAATGCATCTTGAAGCGGATAGTATACAGTGGGTACGGAAAGTATTCAGACCCCCTTAAATTTTTCACTCTTTGTTATATTGCAGCCATTTGCTAAAATCATTTAAGTTAATTTTTTTTCCTCATTAATGTACACACAGCACCCCATATTGACAGAAAAACACAGAATTGTTGACATTTTTGCAAATTTATTAAAAAAGAAAAACTGAAAAATGCTCAGTATTT